TTCATCCATTTGGTTGTAATACTCAACATTTTCCATGCAAAAACCATCCATGTTTGGAGAAGCTTTCCATCAATTTTGAGTGCATACTAAGACCTAGACCATCTTAGGACTTAAGGAACTACGAAAAGAATCTAGTATCCTTCCTCCAGTACTAAATACACTTTCTGAAGCAACAGTTGACACTTGAATTGCCAACACATCTTTGGCCAAATTGGACAAGACACCATACTTATCTCTGTTAACCTTCCACCAATCTACAATTTCAAAATTCATTTTCTCTATGTTTTCACGAGCATCCAATAAGTAGCGTTCTACGTCATTTTTTTATCTCAACCGAATCAATCAGTGCTTGTTTTTCCATAAATCTACTAAGGCGAGCATCCCTAGTAGAAGAAGAACATCCTTTAGATGTATTGGTAGAACTTATAGACTCATTGGTTGATACTTTACTACTTCCGCCAACACTTTCATGACACACATACCACTCATAAATATCCATCAAATTGGCTTTCATAGACTTCATCATGTTACTAACAACTTCCCCATCCATATATAGATCATTCAAACAATATTCAACACAATCCATTTTGTATCTTGGATCGAGGATAGTAGCAAAAAGCAACAACTGATTCACATTTTCCATTTTATCTCAATACTTATAAACTTCTTCTTCATGTTAGTCGCCATTTCACCCAACAAAAAGTTGTTACTTAATCTCCATTCATCCAATTCAATTACAAGATTACAAATTTCATGTAGATAAGTACAAGCACTAACATGCAATGAAGCACTAAAAGTCAAAGTCACGGTATAAAAATTTTGAAGAAATTTAACAAATAAGGCTGCACTTTCCCAATCTAAACTTGACGGAGGTCCATTCCTCCTTTTATTACCATCATCTTCGCGAAAGTAATGGAAATACTGAGCATCCTTCTCTTCTAACCTATCGAAAGCTTTTTCAAATTTTAATGCCGTTTTCAACATCAAATAGGTAGAGTTCCATCTATTTGGAACATCCAAAAACACAATAGACTCGCAATCTATCTTCTCTTTCCTAGCACACTCCTTCAATTTTTCATACCTAACTGGAGAAGATTTCACATATTTGATTGCGTTGCAAATATTCAGAATGGAGTCATGTGCTTCCCTCAACTTTTCACCAATTGATAATGTGTGCACAACATCTCAAGTACAAATACTTCCCTTTTAGAACACATCTATCACTACCCCAATTAACTACCTTTCACCTAAGATAAGAAATGGATGTGTCATTGGAGCTTGCATTATCAACAGTGACTGCAAAAATTTTCTCAATCCCCCAATCATGCAAACAAGTCTCAATCATTTTT